GGTAGGGGAGAGGGAAGGGGTTACTCCTTCATTTTCATAATCTACAGTGGATCGCTGAACACAAACAAAATCCAGCCCAGAACGTTCCACCTCACCTCACATATTTTCCCATCTAATGATGCGAGGCTTATAACAGAACGACTTCACTCAATACCCCAATGGACAATTTCACTTCAACTGAGGCAGTGTACAGTTTACGACAACAGAAAAGACTCTGGTGAAATACACTAGAAAGGGGCGTATTATACCACAGAAGGCAAATCTAAAATGACGAGTGAACTTGAGGGGAAATGATGCGGGGTGAGGATGATGATAATAATATATGACCTGGGAAGAAAATCATGTTGAAAACGTCAGGCTCTGTACTGAATATACAAATTTATGCACATACAAACACGAGCATTTACACACACACAAAGAGCATCAGTGAAAAAAACCCAACTCTAATGAATCTACAGTATGTACATACAGACACACGCTCTAACAACACGCGAACATACCCTTATGTTGACATTTTCTCTCTCTCTCTCTCTCTCTCTCTCACACACACACGCACACACACACACAAACACACACTCACACACACACACACACACACACACACCATGCTAGAGGTGAAGATATGCCCAGAAATATTTCAGCATGATAAAATGAATAACAGTAGGCGAGTAATTTCAATGTGCATTCAGAAAATACACGAATAAATATTATTTTAAAAATCAACATATCAGCATAATATATGGACACATACATTAACCCCCTATTGGCACAGACATTAACCCCTTCACTGCCAGACTTGCTGTATAATCCTATTAATGAGCACATACTTTATGGGACATGGCAGTGAAAGGGGTAAGGGCCACGAGCAAAGAACATGATCAATACCTATCATGTATACAATGGTAAGCTCTATGTCAACAACACATGAGAAATGTGACTCGCACACCCAGAATAAAAACAACGTTTAGTCCTCACATGGAATAAATAACAGATTTGTTAACATCATCAATCTCAACTTGCCAATCATTTCATACAAATCAACACTATTTACACACTGTTCAATATTCGTATTGGGAATCGCTCTCTCGAACAAGGGAGGCAGAAGGACCATTTCACTGATAGTAGTGATAGATCTATATGTCTGCTGAAGAGTGGTATTGTCTTGAAACGTGTATCGATGTCTACTAAAGTAGGTCACTATCTTGAAAGATTATTGTACTTTACTTATTTGCAGCTGAGTCTTTCAGAACTATGACCGTTTAGAACAGGATCTGAAATAGCGACAAACTTACCACGAGAGACTACATTATATTGCCTTAGATAGGAGGGAAGAGAGAGACGATCTTGAGAGAGGGGAAAGAGGCATGGAGAGAGAGGGAGAGAGAGAGAGAGAGAGAGAGAGAGAGAGAG